AGAGCGTATCATTGACACCGTAAAGTCCACGGAGGACTTCATCGTGTGCTTTCCTTACCTATTCTTCGTGTCCGCTCCTTTGCCTCGTCTCGCGGCCTGTATCCGCCGCCTATTGAGGGCTCCTTTTCACGCTACAATTGAAACTGTAGAGTGGAAGTCGAACGCCGGCTAAGTGTCGTAAACACAACGCTTTGAGTAGCGGCGGGGGGAAGGTTTCGAGCGGAAAAAACACCGTTGACCGAATTCTCTGCAAGAATCAGCAGAGTTCTCGTTGAACCGTGCGATATCGTAGTGTGATATCGTAATTTCTCGATGGGAGGACTGCCGTCTCTTGATATTCTCACCCCGATCTCCGTCAATCGAGTCCACACACTGTTTCGAGCTCGCTCGATCAATGAGCTTCGCTATACGAGTGGAGAATTAACGACGAAACGTCATTCCAACGTGACCGAGTGGACGTTGCGTTTCATCGTCCTCTTGAGCGATTATCCTCGACAGTGGTGGGTGAGACACCTTGCCGAGCGCGAAACTCTCGAGCCCAAGTGGGCATCATCCCTTGACGCGCCTCTCTCCATCCCGAAGTTGAGGAGTCCAAAATCGCCCGAAGGGTGTTCCCCGTTGCGCCCCGCTCCGTTCATTCATCTTGCCGGAAGCATCTTCGCGAAGACGATCGAGACTCCCGCCACTGAGCACCATCTACCGACGTTCTTCGGGGGTGAAGTCGATTTTAATCGGCAGCCCTGAGCGTTTGCCGTCGCGCTTCGGACTTCGGACTGCGCTGTACCGCGACCGCGCGAAACCGCCGTTTGTTCTCGGCAACTCGGCAACTTGCGCGCAACTCTCGATACAACGATGCACAATGACCCGCGACAATGGCCATGGTCGCGCCGGAGCTTCTGGAGAGTGCGGCTTCTCATGCGCAGCGAAATCTAATCGAATCGTATGTACAAATCATTGCACTCGAACGCGGTAGAACACGCAGATCTTTATGATCCTTTCACGTGTCCACGCTTACGCTATTTAACTAAAAGATTACAAACAAGATAGTCTTTTGCGTATATTTTTTATAACAATTTAACATGATTCTTTAGCACATTAAACAATATGGAAACATGTAAAAAACTAAGATCGTCGGGGATCGTCTACGAGGTACAGAGAAAAAAGGGGTATACAGAGAGGGGGAAGAATAACGAAGTGACGAAGTCGTTGGAGAAAATCAAGATCGAGTGAAAACAGAATCGCGAGAATATTCACCGCTCTGATATGAAAGATCGGAACGGGGGAGAGCGAGTCTCGCGTGCAAGAAGCCAGGGAACCTCCTGCGAGCCTCCGCTCGTCGTAATTGATTACGTCACTGTTGCGAAAGGAAGGACCACCCCGGAGGTCGGCGGTGGTGCAGGGAAGTAGAAGCGGATGTAAGTCGGATAGGGTGAAGGAGGAGGAGGAGGAGGAGGAGGAGGAGAAGGAAGAAGAAGAAGCAGAAGAAGAAGAAGAAGAAGAAGAAGAAGAAGAAGAAGAAGAAGAAGAAGCAGAAGAAGAAGAAGTCGGACGGATGATGAATGTGCTGTCTGAGCCGTCGCGTCAGCGAGGCTCTGTTGCCCGTTTGTAAACGAGCTTCCCATTTTTTCGCGGCTTACACACGCGCGCGCTGCCAAAAGAGTATCAAACTGTCGGCGCACACATCCGAAAACACTTTGCTCATCGATCCTCGATTACCGGCCCGCCGATTAGGAGGACCGCAAAGTGCGGAAGCTCCTCCAACGGGAAATTGCAGGATCCTAAACGGCAGAATTGTCGGAGTACTCCGTCGAGATCTCTCTGCGACAGTAGCCAATAATAACGTATAATGCGACATTTGCGTGCATTTGCGTGCCTCTTTTAACGCGACTACATGGAAAACACGTTGCGTGAAGAGCAAGCGCATCTCGCTTGCTTTTTTTCGGATCTGGAATAGAATATTCGCGTCATCCGGTGAGTTCGCCTTGGATACGCTGGATCGATATCTAGGCGTCGATAGACGAGAAGCTGCTCGCTGAAAAACAGCTGTGTGTGTGTTGTATTATAATGAATCGATAGTCTCTCGTCGTCGTCGTCGACGTAGTCGACCTGCATTGCGTCACCACGTTCGTTAGCACAGAGAGCACAGGGAGCACGCGCGAGTCCTTGATGAAATTGTTGTCGCTCTGTAGACTCTGCGACGTGTTAAAATAGCGCGATACACATTCCAAGGCCGCCGACGGCTACCTTTTCGCGTCTAACCGCGCTCGGCCTACGCGACAACATTGTAGCAGTAACGTCGCTCGCGTTATTTCCACGAGCGTCGGCGTCGCGACGCTCTTTTCAACAAAGAGCCAATTTGACACTTTGAACGTGGCGAGCGAGAGAGAGAGAGAGAGAGAGAGAGAGCGGCTCGTGAAAGGAAAGAATCATCCCTCTCTCTAAACATCCCCATCCAAGCCAAGAATTATCGCGATTTGTTGCGACTCGCGCGACTGCGGGGTCACGGGGCGATTCTCAGGGCGAGAAAGCGAGAAGGGATCAAGGGGTGACGGCTAATGAAGACCTAATAAACGCCGGGCGCCGGGCCGCTCGCACAGCGGCACCCTTCCGGCCTGATATTTAATACAAACGTTACAATATCAAAACACGTCCTCTCGCACGCCGAATGCCCACTCGAGCTCACCCCTCGCGCGCGCGCGGTTAATACCGGCTGCCTTAAAGGTGGCGGCGTAGCCCCCTTCGGCTTGTACCCCTAAATACGAACCAACACGCGCGTACCCCAGAATCCGCGCTCGACCCACGGACGAGAAGGATGAGGAGCCAACTGTAATTCCTCGGTGCTTTCGTGTTCGTGTACAATAGACGGCGGACGATTGCGAGAGTGAGAGGGAGCGAGACAGAGAGAGAGAGAGAGTGAGAGGGAGCGAGACAGAGAGAGAGAGAGAGAGAGAGAGAGAGAGAGAAGGAGAGCAGAAACTAGCTCTCTAAAGACGCGCCAGTTATTTGCGCGAGTTATTATCGCTCGTTAAGGCGCGGCATTCGAAGCGTTTAACAATTTACTCGCGTTTCCCTGGCCGGAACGCGCCGTTCGCCGCGCCCTCCTTTTCGGACTCCATTTATTTTCTTTAATTCACTCCGCTCCGCTCCGCTCCGCTCCGCTCCGCTCCGCTTTTTGTCCGGCGATTTGCGAGCCGTGGCGGCACTATCGACGGATTCCTGCGCGAGCGAGCGAGAATCTCCGGCCACTTTTGCCGCGCTCGCTCGCGTTCCTTACGCTCGGTTTGTGCGCGAATCTAGTGGGGAAACACGCCGAGGAGGCGAAGTTCCAGGGAGGAAAGGAGAGCGCCGTGAGCGGCGGGTGCGTTGTTTGTGAAGAAAATACAGTGTTAATTCGCGTGGATCGCGACGCGATAGGTGTTGCGCGTGCTTCACGCGGCTACACAATCGCGCGGGGCTGTGTCCTTCTGTCTCTCGGCGGCGTTCACGCGAACGTGGAAGGCCCACGGTCGACAACCGGTGCGTAGACACACGCGAGAAATGGCTCGCGATTCTCGCGCGAGGCCCATTTTCGAAAGTCAATCGACCGTGAGCCCCCTTTTCGTCGATCGCGCGCACGCTCGTAAATCTCCCTTATAACCCTCCGGGTGTGTGCGCCAACCTCGACGCGACGCGCCGAATTAGCGACGACGAGAAATTTTTGACAACCGACGCCGTTCCTCCTACCAACGGACGTCGCTTCTCCTCGCGTGCGAGTGTCCGCGCGCGTTCGCAACATATTTTACTTCGCTCTCGGTGGCGATTTTTTTCGAGTCGACGCTTCCGACGCGTCCGCGCCGCGCTGCGCGTCTGTCCCTTCGTTGGCAGATCCGGCGAACAGCCGTGCATTGTTGTTGCGCAAGATCAGGGACTCAGTCTTCCGTGATGTGAAGTCGAGGAGGAAGGACAAGGTTTTGCTGTTGGAACATTCTAAATTAGCGAGCGTTTCCGACGGTCGACGATTGGATTTAATATCGTAGTGCGCGCGACGCGCGTTTCTCCGCCAGGGAATCCGCCAATGCCTGGTCCTGGCACCAGGTCCACCTATCTCTTTCGCCTTCTTTCACAAATTCTATCCGCAACCTCCTGCGCAACCTCGTCGCGGGAAGACGCCGAGATTTCTACCCCGGAAAAATTAGGGCGTGGCGCGCTCGCCGCTATAGGTGTCAGCTTCGGGTGGCAGCTTTGCGCGCGTCGCGTCCGTAGTCGCGGGAATATAAAATATCCGCGCTTTCTCGAAGAACACGACGGCCCGGGCATTCCTCTCCCCTCTTCTCTTTCTCTTTCTCTCTCTCTCTCTCTCTCTCTCTCTCTCTCTCTCTCTCTCTCTCTCTCCCTCTCTCTCTCTCTCTCTCTCTCTCTCTCTCTCTCTCGTGTGTGCGTGCATGTGTGTGTGTGTGTGCCTGCCTTGTCACTAGCACAATGAGTCGAAGATTATCTACGATGGGATTCGCCGACATTACGACGTTCGCGGCCAACCCCCTGAGCTCGTCCTCCACCTCTCCGTTGCACCCTTCGTCGAGCGTGTAGAGTCGGGGATGGAAGAAAGAAAGAAAGAAAGAAAGAAAGAAAGGAAGAACGAACGAACATACGAACGGACGAACGGACGAACCCGCCGTAGTCCTCTTCTCTCCTCTCGATTTTCCAGCATGAGCCAGGGGGGGGAGGCGGTCGCGGGGTGAAGCAGGGAAAATACATGATCTACGGCGACAGCGGTATTGTTCGTCGAAACGCGAAGAAGCCTCCGGAGGCGGTGGAGCGTTTGAATTTTTCACACCCCTTGGACGAACGTTCGAAGGGGGAGACGGGGAGGGATTATTTGTAACGTGTTGTTGGCCCCTGAATTTGTTGCTGACGCTGCTGTTAGTCCTCTCGTCGCCAGTGAGGTCTACCGGCGGGGCGATAAGCGAATGGAGCGTGTCCTATGTGTCGCATTTCACGCGGACTCTCGTCGTTGTTCGCAGGACACAGCGGGGTGAACCAGCTGGGGGGTGTCTTCGTCGGCGGCCGGCCACTTCCGGACTCGACGCGGCAGAAGATCGTCGAGCTGGCGCACTCGGGCGCGCGACCTTGCGACATCTCCAGGATACTGCAGGTCAGCAACGGCTGCGTCTCGAAGATCCTCGGCAGGTTGGTTGAAATATTGCTTGCTTCGTATCGCGCGTTCCTTCCCGCGAGTCTCTCGCCGCGCATCAAGTGGGTCGACATTGTGGGTCTTGCATGTTGAGGGAACTCGCGGACAACACTGAATGTTGTACTACAATATCGCGAGCGGTCCCCTCAATGGGCACCGGCCAGTGTACGCGGCTTCTCCAGATTGTGGCTGGAATGCGGTCGCGTATTCCTACCGTATTGTACCGCAAAATATTACTGTTGCAGGTACTATGAGACCGGATCCATACGGCCCAGAGCGATCGGCGGCAGTAAGCCGCGCGTAGCCACCGCGGAGGTCGTCAGCAAGATCTCGCTCTACAAGAGCGAGTGTCCATCGATCTTCGCATGGGAGATTCGAGATCGCCTGCTGCAGGAGGGTGTGTGCACAAACGACAACATCCCGAGTGTGAGTAGCTGTCGTATCTTCTCATTCTGCCGGCCGAGCGAGCTGCACTTTGTGTACCTCGTCGAATGCTCTCGCTCCGCCAAAAACGCGAGTTTGATAACCCCCGTGTGATAAAATGCCCGTCGAGATCATTCGAGATCACGCGATGCGATGTCGGTTGAATCGCCGCGGCGAATGCTCGCCCGGTCGACGATTACAGGCAGACATTACGGGTGACAGAAGTTCTCGTCGGAAGAATCGGCGTCGCGGCGCGGCGCGGCAGCGACGACAATGCAAAGCGCGTCGCAAAACAGCCGTAATGGAGCCTGACTTTCGGACTGTCGCGCGCGCGCGACTGCGGGAGGTGGAGAGGAGGAGGTTGTAAGCATTCGCGCGCGCGTGCGCAGGCGTGTATTGTCAACGCGGGAGCTTTGTCTACTTACACAAAACAGGACCGCATTTACATAGATAGCGGCGGATAGTCGGGACGCTCGTGCGCGGCGGGCGAGAGGGCGCAGGAGGGGGATGGAAATCAGTTTTCCGTGGGGTTGGCGGCTATACAGAGGATGTTTATGCGAGCCGATGGACTCGGGGGGCGCGCGCGCGCGCGCGAGACCAGGACGACGTAAACTCCACCCTCTTGTCGCGGCGCGCGCTGATGTTGTTAACACGAGACGGTTAATCGCGCAAACGAATGACGGACGATTTGGCGTTAACCGGTTCCGCCCTGGCGAGCTCCCCCAAACACGCTGCCAGCCGCGCTGCTCTTCTTCGCCGTCTCTCGCGGGCGCGATCAACGGGGTATCGCGTGCTTCATCGGACGGAGTATCGCGGTTTGTCGCGATTGTCGCGGTTCCTCCTCGACACTGGCAGCAAAACGCTTAATGTCTTCTTCCGCGGCCTGGCAGCCCTGTGTCACTTGTGAGCGTGCTTTCAGACGCGAGCGCTCTTCAGTTTCTCACGCGTGTTCTCACTCGCGTGTGACATAATTCGTACGTCGTTTCCACGCGGATATTTTTGTTGAAAAGGGAACGAGAGAGAGAGAGAGAGAGAGAGAGAGAGTTAAAACCGAAGATAAGTACGAAGAGGAGATATATCGCGTCGCGAACGTGACAGAACGATTCCTGCGGAATCAATTAAGAGATTGCTCGAGGACGACTGACGCGCGCGGATCAAAAGGAAATTCCCCGACGTCTTTCTCTCTCGCGTCTCTCTCTCTCTCTCTCTCTCTCTCTCTCTCATTCTCTGTTTTTTATTTCTCTTCTCTGACCTGAAGAAGGACCTGTCCTCCACCTCTCTTCCTCCTCCTCCCTCCCTCCCTCCCTCCCTCCCTCCCACCCAGTTCCTCAGCACCCTTCTCGCGTACGGTGTGTTCGGTGTTCTCGAGGCGGCGGGGTTGGTTGGTTCTTCCCGTGTACGCCGTTGCCATGGATATTTGCATGCGTCCAATAAACGGTGGCTAAGGGGCTCTCGACTCGCTTAGGGTAAAAAGCAAAAGAGGGTCGCTAAATTCTACCCTCCTTCCTTCCCTCCTGGCCCCCTGCGTGCCCCGCGTCGGCCTGCGCCGCCCTTCGCGTCGCTGCCGCGTCTCTTACTCGTCTTCCCTTGCCGAGCTGGCTGGCAGGCTGGCTGGCACCCTCGCGCCTTCGTAATAGCGCCGAGGTGTACCTAGCGCGAGCCACCCTCGCGGAGAGGCCTCGAGAGAAAGAGAGAGAGAGAGAGAGAGAGAGACTCGCGGAGGCAGGACGGAAAGGATGACGATGGAACCGAGGGCATTCTTATCGACGCGAGAGAGAAACGTGTCAAAGGCTGCTCGCTCGTATCTGCGAAAGTAAGAGAAGAGCGAGGTTTATCCGCGACTTTTTTCACGACGTGTTTCAGTTCCCTCCATAGTCTTTTCCGGAAATTTTAGTATCCACACGAAAACGAGCCTTCGTAGAGCTCAAGGGATGAATCCCTTGTCCAAATGATGCGTGTGACGTCGTCGTATCGGGAATTTCATTACCAGCGTTCTGCAATTCAGAAATTTTTTAGATATTTGTTTACATATTCCGCTAAGTTCGACCTTTTTTCTCGCTTTTACATTTTTCTCGCTTTTAACGTTTCGTTTAAATTCGTAGCTCCGAAATTTTGCGATAAGAAAAAATATCGCGGACGATTGGAATTGCACCGCGAGTCAATATATCTCGAGAAGACGTCCTCCCACTTGATGCTATTCGCGTGTTCACGCTAAGAAAATAATTTAACGCGAAATGGCAGAAGGAACGCTCGGGCGAGTGTGCTGCGATGTACGGCTGCGAGTCGTCAAAGGCGCCGCGTGACTTTTAGCATTCTAAGCGGTAACGAGGCGCCGACACAAACAGCGACGTCACAGAATTTCGCGTTTTAACAAATTACAGGAGCTTGCGGAGGACTCGGAGCGCCTCCGGGGGCGTTGGAGGATCAAAGCCGGCGCGTAATCCCGGCCGCGTCTGAGCATCCTGCGAGCGCTTCTGAACTTGTTGTGGGCAAGATTAACGTTTCTTTAATGGCCCGTGTAATATTCCATTACGTACAGTTCGCTCGAGAATTATTGCGCCGACGTCGGGAGGTGCAGCCTCGAACGAGCCGGGGCGCTGCGAACGAATACGAACGACGACGAACGATCAGAAGGAATTCTCGTCTCGCGGTTGAAATCACTTCGTCTCGTATCTCTCGTAACTCGAAAAATATATCGCTGTCGCGTCGGTATAAAGTCAACGCGTCAAATTATTTACGAATTGTGTCAATCGACAGATACGACTGCGAAACTTTCGCGCTCCGTTCACTCGCGTGCAAATTGTCAAAGAGCTCCTAGCGGATACATTGCAGCGGATTTTAACTTTTATCGTGTTCGCGACGCGAAACTATCGCGATTGCTTGTCGCGCGTGCATGCTCGTTGGAACGCGCCGAGGACTCGCAAGCGACAACGGTCGACGATATTTGAAAATTTGTGACCCGAAATCCGCCTCTCAGGGCGGAGAGCGCTCCAAGGTTTCTCTTTCGTTCGTTCTCTGATAGGGAGCGAAGTAACTCGCGAACGGGATTGATTCGAAAACGTTTCTACTCATCTGCCCTCCTGGGCCGCTTCGCACGTGTCCATTCGTGTGCGGCGGGGTGTGTGTGTGTGTGTGTGTGTGTGTGTGTGTGGTAGACACGGTGGAAGACCACGGCTCGACGGAAAAGAGAGGAAAAATGAGGGAAAGAGAGGAGAAAAATAAAAATAAGGAGAAAAGACAGGAGGAGAGAAGAAGGAGGTACGAACGGAACGGAGGAACGTATTCCAAGCGAGCCGTGGTGATTGGGGGAAATTTCATTATTCTCAGACATTACCCCCGTTATTGTAATGCTATCAAATTGGATACGCTTCGTACACCCTGCGGAACGGGCGGAATATCTCGGGCTCCTTCCTTTCGCGTCTCTTCTTCCTTCTCCTTCCGTTCCGCGGAGACGCTCTCGCAAAGGATGGAAGCTCTCTCTCTCTCTCTCTCTCTCTCTCTCTCTCTCTCTCTCTCTCTCTCTCTCTCTCTCTCTCTTGCCGTGTCGCGACTCCTTCGCTTTACCCTCTAACAGCTTTACCTCGATATATATTTATATACGTACCTTGTCCGATTTAGCTAAACAATATAACAGAGTGGAGAGATGAGGGGAGGTACACGCTTCGCGTGTCACGCGTTTCTCGCGTCGTCGACATTTTCCCGGGCGACGTTTTCACGGGAAGGACATGTCGTTCGGCCAGAGGAGAATCTCGCTGGATGCGGCGTTCGTCTGTTTCCCGTTTCCCTGTACGATCCGGAAGGCCGAACTCTTCGCAACCGCAGCGTCGGCGTCGGCCGGATTAAGCAAAATTACGCGAGAGCAACAGTTTCGCGTGCGAACGGGCGGCCGACCATTCGTCCTCTTTCGCGAAGTCGACGCGCGCGGAATTGCCGAATCGAGCCAATGGCTCGACAAACCAGTAAAGCCCGCAGGACGCGGAGACGGATTCGAAATGTCCTGCGGAGCGCCCGCTATCCGTTTCGTCGTGGAATACCGTTTCGGTCCCCGCCGGATTTGAATCTGGCACCCGGCGTGGCGGACGCGTTATTGGTTTACTCGCGCCACTGGCTCCGGGATGCCGACAGCGGCTCTCATTCGTCTGCCGGGCGCGAGAAGAATTCTCCGAATCGGCCGTCGAAATCGGACGTGAGTGGTTTCTCCAGATCATGGCTGGTATATCGTCGCCAGGTGGCAGGGAGGGGGGGGGGAAGAGGATAGGGATCGTGATTTCCGCTGTTTCTCTCATCTTGCCAATTTGCGAGACGTCTGGCTGCGCGTTTCTCGGGAACTACCCTGCGAAAGTCTCGCGTCTGTTTCGCTATGTTTCTAAAAGTTCCATTCAGCAGAATAGTGTAATTCACGGTGGTAAATCGTCAGTCAGCCGTCGGAGAGCTGGCTGGATTAGACTGTATTAAGCTGGATTAGCTTGGATCTGGCTGGAAAAGCGGAGACTTGCACGGCGCATTCGAAACGTGCGATTTCCATAGGCGGTAGGGTTGCTCTCGGCTGCTTGTAACAGGAGCGTCACTGCGAAACGAGATTACATTCGTTGATTCGGCCAGCCGGGCCGTGCGCGTCCATTCCGAGGGTTGACGTTGACATCTCACCCCCCATCGGGCGTCTCTGGGAATCACAGCCCGGCGCGGATCTTTCTTACGACGTAAGAAATTGGCAGCTTGTTAACCCGTTATTTACGATCAGCTTGCGACAGCTCGCGCTTGCGCTCGCGCACAATCGTTCTCCCTGTTCAAACAAGCGCCGTTTAAATCGACCATCGATCGACAGGCGCGTACATCGAACAATTCCAGAGGAGATTCCAGAGGAGAACACTCGCTCGACGAGGTCGGTCGTTGCGGCAATACGATTCTACGTTCGGAGAAAAAAAAAATACTCGTCGAATAACTCTTGCGAATAACGCTTTCGCTCCTCTTCCCTCGCTGCGATTTCGATCCGAGGACTTAGA